GAGTGGCCTCATTCATTTTAAGCTGACCACCAGCAGTATGAGCATTAGAAATTGGAGCTTCCGTTAAACTTTAATAGTTTCTCAAAAGGAAAATGAAGAAAAAGGGATGCTTATCATTCCTGAAGGTCGGTTTAGCTTAACGCATGCAACTGTAGTGAAATCATCAAAATATCTATAGAAATCGTTTATCTTAGTATTAACATATAATTCAATTTGCATCTTAATATTGAAAGCATAATTCTTCAGTTGATAATCACTGCTCTTCTATTCTATGGCAGATTATTACTGTGCATAGTCCTGCTTGTTAGTAGTGTAATTACTTTATTACTATGGGAAGTCGTTGCTGGGTCACCACATAATTATTTTTTTCCTCAGTGTTTTTATTAGAGATCTATATTCAACTTCTTTGAATCCCTGTTAGTGGTATCATAGTAATTAAATTCAAGTAGGTCACAAATGAAATGTTCACATTTGTTGCTTATGGTGGAAATGAGTGCATTGCATTTATTTGTGCATATTTAGATTTCTTGCAAGTAAGTTTTCATGGTGACATAAAATACAAAATATATGTGCAGTGTACAAGTGCTTTTCTTTGTACAGTAAGCAATTTTCCAGGAGATCATTTCTGAAAGCAAAATAATAACTTAACTGTATTCTTCAAACAGGATTTGCTACAGCTCATAGTAGTAAAGTATTTATGTAGACTAAGTTTTCAAAACTTTCTTTGTATTTCCAACTTCATAATATCATAAAGTTTCAGTATAGAAAATGTAAATAATGCATAAAGGGGGCAAATGCTTCCTGTGGGAGGCTTTAATTTGGTCCATCTAATTTACATTCCAAAGAGAATAGCCATATTCTGCATTCATTAATAATCAAAGAATGTCCCGTGTGGGCATTAAAAAAAAAAACCCAAATAGCTAGATGAAGAAAAATGCTTCTTCATTAATAAAATGCAGTTCTATCTACTACTCATACATAGAGGTATAGGGAGAAAAAGGAAGCTGCATGCAGATACAAGCTCTTGCACATGCTCCTTTAATGTCATTTATAAAACCGAGTGTTGTCTTGATTTTCATATGAGATCTATTCTGCGGATTTTGTTTGTTTTTCTCTGATTAAGCTATGGGAGAAAAAGCTATGCTGTTCAACTTCTAATACAATCTTTTTCAAGTCTAGAAAAAAATGATGTATGGAGTAGATATAGTATATAAGTGACACTGGGGCTGCAGTATGAGTACATACCATTCATAATAAAGCTAGAGTAAACTTTAGGTTCAGAGTAATCATATTAAAGGACCTTCTGCATGCTTTTTTTATTCTTAGTAAGAAGCTACTTAAAAATTAGTTCTGTCTGAACATCCATTGAAAATCCGCCAATGGCTCCATACCAAGTCTGTCTCCAATCTGAATCAATTTTACAATTTGCCAGTGTTTTCATTAAAAAATTGGTTTAAATTTGAAAGTGAGACTAGGCCGCTTGCTGTTTGTGTGTGGCTGCTAGATACTACAGATCAGACAAGTTCATGCTCCTGTATTTTAGTGGGTTTTGCATTTGTGATAATGAGGTAAGAGTAAACTAATAGGTTGCATTTTTGTTTATGTGCGAAAAAGGGGGGTAAAATACCTCCACCTGACTCTGGAAACCTTATTAAATGCATAACTGAAACAATTTGGAGTAACTGCAGGTAATGGTGTGGGTTTGAATAAATTGTCACAGTTTCAGAACAATCCAAAATAAAAAAAAAATACCCAGCCAGAAAGCAGAAAAATCCAAACCCTCAAACCAGTAGTCTCAGCACACGGACTTTGCTTATCAGGCCCATTTTAATTCACTTTGTAGCTGTTCTTGTTAGTGAATATAAGCGCCAGCTCAGTGTTTTGTCGGTTGCTGTAATGCCTTTTGTACACTGCTGTTAGCTCCTACCGAAGTAAATGCCAATGTTTGAATTGCAGTTATCTTCCATTAGGCTTGTCTCATGTCTTCACTAACCTCTGTGAAGGATTAGGATGTTAAAAGATACTAAATTTTGATATCTACTGTTTATTTCTGGCTATGAGGCTTGTCCTTGAGCTCTTGTGGGTGTCCTTTATTTCACTAGAACTTTTTCAATGGTTTGGTTTCATGTAGGCTGAAAGAATGCTGAAATGCCTGTCTGAATGAAAAAGTGAAAAAACTGGTTGCATTGAGCAGAACAGATTTTTCTGCTTCATACATTAACATTTGATGTCGGCTTAAATATGTAGGGTTTTTTTAACCTTACTTAACTAGAAAGTGCGAGTCGTGCTTGGAGTGTCCACAGATGAAATTAATCTAACACTTTTTCCCAAAGAAGACTGTCTTACAATAACTTACTAGAAACAGTGAGATTTGTTGGAAGCAGCAGCTTTCAGTTTTTTGGGTTTTGATCAGTTAAGTCTTTGCTACCTAGAAATTGATTGTGCCTAATCTCTTAATAAACAAAACACAGCAGAACGTCACCTGTGCATGTGGATGAACATGTACATGGTGCATGTTGCTGCACAGTTTAAATATCAAAAACCATCACAATCTATCATTTGCTTTAAACACTGAACTAGACCCATAGCTGGTGGAAGCTAATGAATTTCATGAAGACCTCTGCTGATTTGTACCATCTCACCTCTCACATTTGGAGTGATTGTCCCAATTGTTTTGATTCTTCAGCTACACTGGCTATTCTTGAATTTCCAGGATACTTTTCTGTATTGAGAGCTTATAATTTATACATATTTTTAGCCACAGGTTTTAAATGTAAATAGCCAAGATGAGTGTTCCTAAGATCAAGCAAGACCAAAACATATCTCCTGCAGTCCTGAAAGTGTCTATAGCAGTGTATTGTGATATGTGGGTATGTAACACTTACACCATTACCAGCCTGATTTGGATAACACAGGCCTGTTTCTGTCAAATCAGAAACAGACCGGGCTTAAAAGGAGCTCTGCCCTCTCTCTCCCCTCTCTCCCTCAAAAGAAGAAACCAAAAATTAGAGACAGTTTTTGCTGTTTATAAAATTAACACATTTCCAAACCCAATGGTTTGTATCTGTCTCTAGAAGAAAAGAAACTTTCAAGCAGTGGGCCTTCATGCGCTGCACTGTATCTCAAGAAGAAAGAAGGTATCTGAGAAGGCAGATCTTTCTTTGGCAGGGTAGGGGCAGCCAGAGTACTGCCAACCAAGTTGTCATCTTTCATGTTTTGTACATTCATTGGCAGATGTCTGGGGAGCTTAGAATCTCTGTAAATTTGCAAAGTCTCCCTTAGTTGCCCCCATTTGAGATTTTTCTTCTTGATAAATACAAAGAGAAGGGAAGGAACAAAGTCTCTCTGAGCCAAGAAAAGGAGTAAAGGATGGAGCTTTTCCTTCACTTTGACTAATAGAAATAGTTGATGCTTTTCCTCTTCCCCAACACTCCTTCCCCAGTCCACCTGTTTTGCTCAGTCTTTTGGGATTAATGTGAAATACCAAGTGATGAAACTGGACAAAAGGCATTTTGTAAAGCAATGTTCATGCATTATACTTTTTCATTCATTTTATTTTTAATTTATACCAGACTTTTTAAAATGTAGCATAACCACAAATACTTTTCTAGAAAATGTGCTAGCTTGTTCTTTGTAACAGACATTAATATTAGTTAGTAGAGTGAGATAGAGCAGAAGTTGTTAATGCTTACTATTTAAGAAAATAAAATAAAAGCAGAAGCTATTTCACGGTGTACTCAGCACTCCTGTTTCAATGGAGTCTATGCAGGCAGAGAATCTGACTGGCCCAGTGTCGACGTCACCTAGGATCTCATCCTGCAAGACACTAAGCAGTGCAGACCTCCTGTCATCATGGTAGAAGTAAGAGCCATCAGCCCATTGCAGCATTTGGACCTTTCAACAATCAACAGTAGCATGAGGCAGAAGAAAATTTGATCTTGTATGGGAAGGGTTGGTTTCTCTTTTTGCTTACAAAAGTATTCAGTTAATTAATTTTTGTATACTTAAATGCAGAGGTAAAGCAGAGCCTTCTTTTAGTAGCTTAATACTCACGCTGATTTTAAATGAGAGAAGGCTCAGGCACCTTGGGTTTTTCTACCGGTTGTGTAAGACTGAAAGCGTTATATATCATTCTGACCCCAACATACAATATATGTACCTATTAATGTGAGGGTCAACTACTATTGCATTACTCTGTAGCACTGGTTTAGAACAGAGTTTAATTTGGTTTTAGCTAAAATTTAACTGCTCCCCCACTAACATGCTTTTCTGAAAACAGTTCTCTTCTTAGAGGAATTTCACATTAAAGCTTTAGGATTAGAAAATCATGTGAACATTTTTAAATATTTGAAAACAGTAATAAAAAGTTCAATTCCTTCTAAAATAAACACAACATTTGGAGCAGAATAATATTTTAATAAAATTAAATCTAAGTATTCACAAAGCATTATGCACATACAGTACATACTGTATTCAAAGCCTATGGACCTTAAATAATTTTATTCTAATGTAGTCAGCTTTGGACACAAGCTAAGCTTACTTGTTTTGTAATAAGAAAGTTTACAATTCTTCCTGAAAGTGATTTTACATATATACATATATATATCTCTATATATCTATACTCCTACATGAGTGTAGGTATAAACACACACTTGTATGTATGTGTGTATATATAGTAATGTATACACACATACACACACGTGTGTATAAATATATACACACATACATACACACATATGTACATATATAAAATACACACATGCACACATACAGGAGTGTGTGTGTGGTGTATATGTGTGTCCACATACATATATACTCTATCTAGGATCATTGTGGAGGGGCCAGCCAGTAAAAACAGGTAACTGCAAACAACCACCCTCATAATTATAAATCAAAAATGTGTAAAGTATTTTTTAATTAAACAGATTGTTAATAATTTATATCAAACAAAAGGAACACAATCTTCTGTATTATATAGAAATGAGATTTATTGCATTTGATTATGTTTGTGTGACTGATGAAGAGTACCTGCCTGCTCATGGTAGCTAACTTCTATGATGCAATTAAAAAACAAAAAACCAAAAAAACAAACAAACAAAAAAGTATGGAAATAAATTATTCAATTACTGCAGTTTTGTGGATGTCACCTACAGTGATTCTTCCCAGCATATGGAAGAGTTTTCCTGTCTGTTAAAGTACTGCCCTACTTCAACTGCTTTGGAAGGTGGCTGGTTTTTCTGTCCTAATTGTTTCAAACCTAGAAGACCTCATTACCTTCTTCTTTCTCTAGATTCAGAATCATTGTGATTTATTGTAAAAAGCTCACTACAAGAAAGATAAATTGATTCTCAGAACTGAGCTAGAAGACGATTTTGCTTGAATTTTAGCTTTGTCAGGTAGGAGTTTTTTCTATGTGAATTATTGTTATTGGTCTCCTATTTGCTCTGAACACATATCCACAATAAAATACTATTTCCATGACAGCAGTAAATGGTAATATCCATGCAACGTAACCTGTAATTTCAGAACATGCATGTTATTAAAAAAAAAATAAAATAAGGTGCCTTGAGGATGCTGGCAGTTTTACATTTGGAACATACAGTCAGTGTGTGTGTATATATATATTTACATCAGAACTGGTCAACTTTACCTTACAAGCTTCAGATTTAGGAAAATATACAGTACTTTTGCATATAATGGTATATTCCTTGTAGCCCCTGAGTCAAGTATAGAGGATTTAAATTAAAAAAAAAAAAAAAAAAGGAAAACCAGCCATTAAAAGCACTTACATTTTTATGTGAAGTAATAGTATAAAAGTATTATTTCCCAGGAAGACCAGGATCAGAAACATGCCTATGAAGACTCAAGATTCCTACAGTGGTTAGTGAAGATTCTGGCAAGGAAGGGTGCCTAATCGGCTGGACATAAGTTTTACAGTGCTGTGGGGGACACTCTACAGACTGGTCACGTTCTTGGTCTAAAAGAGAAGCCAGGTTGTCTTCTGAGGCTGTGTTAAGATGCACTCCACTTGAGAGGGATTCTTTGGATTTAAGTTTTGTTTTTTCAAGGTCTAGAAATTCAGGACACTGGAAGGGAGAAGAAACAAAATGGTAATAATTAAATTGGTCTCTTCCAGGCTCTTGTTCTGCTCAAAATCAGCACATTCAAATGGTTTCTAGAAAACCATGTCTGAAAATTAAGCAGGGCACTGAACTATTTTTATGTGGTACTGCATTTGATTTAATGTAATTGAATGCAATTCAGTTGATTAATTGTAGAAGCCTGGATATATTGTCCCCTCCTCAGACTTCAAGATGCACACCAAGATACACATAGGAACTGCCCTTTCTGAAGGAACGAATATACTTGATACCTGATCTAAGACTATGAGTTTCAACGTTCTTGAATATGCGGTTTTGTTTCAGAATGTAACTCTGGAATTGCATCATTCTGAACATGATAACCATTTGGATTCCAATCTCAGCACCCGGTAATTCTTCGCTCTTAAACTTGAAATTTGTGTGAAGTGTGCATTGTGCCTACTGATGTTTGCAGAGGGTGGCCTTATTTCTGTTCAGAGATATGTGTATATGCTTTGTGCAGGTATGTGCAGGGAGCACTTACCTGAAAACTACTTCTGCACATCTTCTGCGTAATCTTTATACATGTGAACTGTTGCCTTCTGGATGTGCTGGATTTACTGTGCCCATATGTGTCCCAGCATACGCACAAGGAATCTGATACAGCTAAGCACGCTGGATTTACTGATTGTATGCTACATGACTGATTTGGGATTCCTAGACATGCAGCAACCTGTTTGGAAATAATATGCCACATCTCTGCCCAAGCTGTTAAACTCCAGCAATCCCACACAAATTTGAAAAATCGTCATGTTTTGCCTGTACAGAACCGGGGTGGAAAACATGTAATGGGAAACACAGGTATGTAATAGCTCTGTATGTTCATATTTCCAGTAGTACCAAGGGACCGGACATAAGAATGGTTTTAGCCCCTCACTCTTACATATGTATATAACCATTATGCTTCATCAGCTGGACTTGTCTGGCCTGTACCTTGAGGAAAACACAGCTGCGGTGCTTCTCAGGACTTCATGAATGGGACCTATGGCAGATGCACCACTGCAGGCAGGCTGATACTTGGAAAATGTTCGTGCTTTACAGCTGTGTCTAGTATTTGTCATTTCTGCTAACTTTTGTGAAAAGCATGGTAATAAAGTAAATCAGACCGATTATAAGATCATTGTATGGATCTCTACAACCCTTATATAAAGTGTGGCCTCTGAAACTGTGTATCTAAGTCCACTGTGGAGATACTAGATCAAAATATTAATTTCATATTCCTCGTGAACTAGTGCATTTAAACTAGTGAACAACCACTTAGATTGGCACATATTTCTTCCATCATAAGCTAAAAAGATTAGCAAACCTGTTTTGATTTTACCGGCTATGTGCATACCTGAGATGAAGGTCTGAAACTCCTGTCTGTTTTAACTGATGCTGCGGGCTGAAGGTTTTGTATCACCCGGATTGCTGGCTGTTGGTACTCTGCACCTGCAGTCACCATGCTATAGGCAGGTGGAATGAGTGTTGTCTGCCTTTGCAGAAGCTGCAGGATGGTTTGGATATCAGCAGTCATTTGGGATTCAAGCCTAGAGAAGTAACACAAAATCAGTTAACTCTTGGTCAGGAGTAGGCATATTTTAAAATGCTGTTACAGATGCATTCAAGAGAGACTTGCAGTTTCTTTATAAAGCAAACTATAACGGTGATGACATGACCGTGTCTTAAATAGGAAAGAACAGAAGGGGGAGTATCGAACCCTTCCAAAGCTTGCTGGCTCTCCCTTTCCTATACAGCACGTGCCTGCTTGCTTGTCTCTGATCTTTTTGCTACATTAAGAATGAGTTCATTATTGTCCGTAATGTTCGCAACAAAAAGTAACACGGGGAACGGGGTTTTTGGTTGAAATAAATGCATGCTCTTCATTGTAACTAAATTGATTTGTACTGGCTGATGGGACACTATTTGTGATGCATCTGACAATTAATTCTGACATTCCCAATGCTAATACAATGCACCAAAATAAGCAGAAAACAACATTTGTGTTTTTCCACAGTTAGAACATGAAAGATGCTTTCAAGATCATTAAAAGAAAGAACAGCCCAAGTCTCCTTACTGTGAAAATTTATTCAGACTTATTCAGGCCTCAGAATTAATGTCAGTGTTTCTGATATTCAAATTTAGTAGTTTTTCCTCTTTTTTTCCCCTTTTCATAAATTTGTATTTGACTTTTGAAACTCTTGAGCTGCTCATACTTACAATTACTTGAGTTGTTCATACTTACAATTCCATAGCACTGAAATGATTTCCAAATGGTCTTGCCAAGATCCATGACAAACTCAGCAATAGGTAATGCCTGTTGTGCCTCCCTGGCTGCTGGAAGGCTACACAACATGCTATGGCAGACTGTAATAGAGATATGCAGCCTCTGTACTGCAACTCATCTTCTGACAGAGTAAACAAATCTTTGTCAGCAGTCTTTAATGTGAGTGTTACTACTTGGGCTCCCTACAAGCAGCAGAATTGATCCCATGCTGACAGATACTTCCTTTCACCAGGTGCTTCACTGATACAGAGCCTTGGGCAACATGGTTTAGAGCGAGATGTCCCTGCCCATGGCAGGGGGTTGGAACTAGATGATCTTAAGGTCCTTGCCAACCCTAACTATTCTGTGATTCTAAGATTCTATCATGTTGGAGTTGCCCATTGCCTCTGTCATTTATTTATAAAAGCATCTCTGAAGGCTATGCCCAAAGTATATGTGGCATGCTGTTTCTTCCTTTATCGTGAGAAGCTGGTTTTGCGTCATCAGCTCTCATAAAGAAAGGTCCAAATCCGTATGTTACAGACAATCACGCCCTACTTGCCCTCTTGTTCAGTGCCCCTGGTTTCTTTGCTGCTTTCTATGCTGGTCTCACACAAGCATGATGCTGATGCCACAGGGGAAAATACTGCAGCAGCAGCATGCCACCATCCAGAGAGCTTTCATCTGCTAAACCTTGGCCTTAATATCTCAATGAATAAAAAGGATTTAGCATTGGAGGACTTGCATCAATGATTGTCTCTGAACTAACTCCAAAGTTGCTCCTCCCTTCTTACTTTGTTAGCACTTGATGAGAGTTTCCCAGTACTTTAAATCAAAGAGTACCTCTGGTAGTCTTTATTCATCACCATTGCATATAGAATTTCTATCTTTCTCCAAAACTTAAAACAAGTCCATGTCATGCCACCCAAGGATGAACAAACAGGAGAACCTTAGATGCTTGGCCCACAGTCCCCCATGAAATTCTGCTTGCTTAAAGAGGAGAAACAGAGATAGCTCTAGGGACGTGTTCCTTGTACAATGGCTTTCCAGCCATCTATATCCATTTAACAATTTGAATGTTATGCCAAATCTCTAACTTGGCATGGAAAAGTTCAGGAAAAAGTGACCATGCATTTTAGTCCAGCAGGTCAGGTCTGACATAAGCATGAAAGAATATTCGCAAGAGACCCAGCAAGGCCGAAAATCCTGAAAGCATGAAAAGCTTTAAAAACAGAGTCAGATAATAAAATGATTTAATAAAATCAATAACAATTCAAATCTTAGTTTATCAGTACCTCTGGTGTTTTCTCACTCAAGAAAATACTGAGAACTCGCATGAGAATTTGATAAAACTATGGGTAAATTTGAGATATAACTTCAGTTTCAAGAGCTTAAGATCTCAGAGAAAGAACTGTAACTGAGAGACTACACACTGTTGATGGAGAACATGCAGCTGTTTATTTATGTGACATTTACATTTACTTAGATTACTTGACTTTACTGCAATTAGAAATTACAGCAATTTAGGCTTAAATGTTAAAAATGTCTTTTTAATGTACTATATAGTATTCAGAAGTGAAAAATACTATGGTTTGATTGGTTTATGGTAGATGAAGGAAGCAACATGCAGTTAATCTGGCTTTAAACTGATTGCTAAAATATACAGCACAATGCCAATGAAGAGTACAGTATAATTAGGGCTGAGGGCATGTCATAGTATTTGTCATGGCAAAAAATTGAAAGTAGTGGAATTGCAGGGAGAAAATATAAAAAAAGGCACAGACCTGAGCATAGGGCAATTTAAAATTAAGTGAAATTACATAGTAATTTATAGCGTAGGATGGATCAAAATTCTGTAACCATATTCTTAAGATGTTATAAACTATGCTGCTTAGCTGCCAGAAAGGAGTAGTATATCAGAGAACAAGAGAGAGGGAAGAGACATTTTACTAAGCTAAGGTAATAATGGATTCTGACGCAGAAAGCATCTGTTTTCTATTGTAACAGGTGCAAAATAAGTTCCTGCATCAAAAAGGGAATTTATCTGTCATACTTTTTTAAAGGAAGATGGTTGTTTTACTTTGAGTCTCCAGGAAAGAAAAAGTACTTCAGATATTGACGATACTGAAAATTGTTGTTTTGTGGACATATAAATATCTAGGAACAGCATCCTGGGTGAAGTAAGATTTAAATTTAACAAGTTTAGGTGCCTTAGGATAGCTTCTTAGTAAAAAAGCTGGTCAATCAAGGAGAAAGGCTCTTCTGCAAGGCAATTCAGAGTAGCTAATGTGAGTATATAGAGGCAAATGACATGAATATTCTGGCAATGAATTAGAAATTTTGTACCCAGCATTCCCAGAATAGGTTTTCTGAGAATCTGAAAGTCTGAACTTCGGTTTCTCAGAATATAGATAACAAAGTGATATTCCCATGAGTCAATTTTTGCACTTTTGAGCTTTTGAAGATCTGAAGGCTTTTGGAAGCCTCATTCATTCATGTGCAAATTCATTCATCCTGCAGTGTCATAAATATCAGTTGTGTTACGTACTGTCACACACACACACACACACACATATATATATTATTTTTTTATCTGGTCATATCTCTGTTTTTACCTGTTGAGTTGCTCTTGAAGTAAATCTAATCGATTCTCCACTTCCCCATATATGAAGTCACTTTCAGTTTCACAGATCCCCCATGTAATGTGGGGTAATGCTGACTGAACTGGGGAGTCCTGGTACTCCTGGATGTTCTCTTGCTCCCAGTTTCTTTTATCAGTGATATCTGATGAAAAACAAAACAAATAAAATATAGGTTTATATCACACTGTTAGAGAGGGATTGGCACCCCACAAGCATCCCACTTATGTTTCTCAAAGCCTTGGAAGTCAAATTGGCACATTGGCACACTGCCTGAACAACTGTCTCTGTTCTTTACTGCTTTTATGGAAAGATAAAAGTGGTCACATCTATGATAACATTTTAAAGCTGATAAACAAACACCTTTGTTTAGTCAGCATCATCAGAGTTCTGCCACCAAATGGTTCCTATTTCTTTAGTTTTCCTTCTATTATTTTACTAACGAATCCCCAATTTTCTCAAGGTATTTTTAGCAATACATGAGTTGTTGAAATTAAAAATATTTGTTCTAACCTAAATGTGTTAAATGGTGTACTTGAATGTCTTTGTGTGTTTCAGAGGCCTGGCTAAGATCTCTTTTCTTTCTCTTGAATATGCTACTGAAGTGTATTTATTGTTTAGCTTTCTGGTGTAAAAGGAGGACTTGCTGCATTGCATTTACAGCACTGGGCATGTATTACAGTGCATTGGAACGCCTCCTCTAGAGAAAGTGGCCAGACCTCAGCTAGCTGCCTTTCTTATGAATAACTGTAAAACTACTTGTCTTAACAAGGTTGGTGAAGTGTAATATGTTTTCTCTGAGACAGAGGCCACTTAATGCAGCTCATGCTGCTTGCAAGAGGATACTAGTCAGTATTTCCAAAAAGGAAATTGATTTTCATTGATGTAGATTTGAGCATCACTAGTCTCCAAGCCAACCCTTACATAATTGTGTAAAGCATGTCTGAGAGACTCTTATGGTACTGTGGGGTGAAAGGTGCCAGTTAATTTTGTTTAATAACTTGTGATTCCTAAAAGAATGAAATATTCATCATTGCTGGGTCTGTCAGAGATCACTTTAATATTAATTGAAGCTTCATGGTAAATAATAATTCTTTTTTCTTTTTCTTTCATTTTCTGTTTGAAATGCAGATAAAATTTTGCATGAAGATAGAGGAAAAAAAAAGTTTCAAGCTAAAAAATAGCCCAGTTACATTATTAGGATCTTACTGCAGAGTTTCAGCTATTTTGCTGAATTTAGTTACCTTTCTAATCTTTATATATTGTATCTATAATATATAAAGTATTTAAAATCACTCTTCACAGAAGCAATTTATATTTATTTCTTTATTTCCAGCCCTTTGTAAAACAATAATGATGACTAATCCAGGTATCACCCTGTACCTCTTTGCCCAAGTTTCATCCCTCTTGTCCCTCCCAGTTCTTGGATCTCTGTGATCACACACTGCACCTTACCACCCAAACAGAACTTAGGGGCACCCTTTCCTTTTGCTTGGATTTCTGGTTTGAGCTATTTCTCCTTCCTCTTTCAATCTGCTTAATTCACACCTCTGTGGATTTTTAATTAGTTTACATTCTTGGCTCTAGGCTGTTTCTGCTCTTCACCAAGCTGGTGAAAAGTTACAAATCATTTATCATGGAATATACTAGTTGTAAATATCCTTATCAAATACAGAATGAAGATCTTCCTGTGAGTTTTGCAGAGCCTAGAGGTAACATGCTTAGGTTGAACAGTACTTTTTCTACATCTACCAGTGCCCCAAGCCTTTGTTCTTTTGAGTCAATCTGTTGTCATGCAGTCAAAAATTGCTTAGCGCCACTCAGATTCTCCTCTGTTGTGATAAAAGACACAGTTAAAACTTTAACACCTGCTCAGTACAACTCCCATTAGGGTTGTATTTGCGATTATTTAACTACATGAAATGACAGAATGTATTAAAAGTTTTTACTGCACTCAGGCTGCTGCTTCACTGGACAAAATCCTCGATTGCTGATAAGGTGTCAGCCTCTGTTGTATAAGCAGTTGGATTTGAATCCCACAGCCCCCAGGTAGTCCCTGAATGGTTTGCTCAGTGCTGCTTCTAACACTTGTCACTGTGTACTGATAACTCAGCATAGGCTACATTCATTTCACACTTGTGAAATTTTTCTAAGCAACCATAGCAGCCAGAGTCATGTTTCAAAGAAAAGAATAAAAAACACAGTGTGGGTGACATGTGAGAGGTTTATCCAAATGCCATTAGCTACTCCTTTTTGAACGTATCGTTGAGCAGTGTTGCTCTAAGTAAAGAAATAAAAAAAAAAAAAAAAAAAGGAAAAGAATAAGTCCTGCTCAGATTTAGTATTTCATGTAGGTTTAGCCAGGAAGGGGAGCTCTTACTACATAACTCCAAGTGGAGGAGGAGACTTCTCTTTTTTCCAATTGGAAAATGGTTCTTACTGCATTATCTATTCTTCGGTAAGCAGGTGAAGAGGGTTTCCTGGAGTTGTAAAGGGTGTTTGGATTTCATGTGACATGACCTAAAACTGATTTTATGCACTGGGCAGAAGAAAGGGGAAAGAGATTTCACCTTGGCTGGACAGAAAACTCTTCAGCTTGTCAGCCATTTAAGCCAACAGAAGAGGCAAATGGTGTCACAAAAGCATGTAATATGGTTTTAGCAGGCACACATGGCACAATTTGCAGTGTCCAAGGAAGCTGGAAAGCTCTTGGCAAAGTGAAGGGAACAGGCTATGAGGTTTATGCAGTTTCTGCCCACCTTATGCAACACATTATTAATAATCTTTCCATTCATCAACAGTAATGACTGAAGCTTAAAGCAAAACTAATGATAATTAAATATGTATGTCACAGTGGTAATGAATTGCAGTAGCTTTATATAAGTGTATTTGTATTTAAGATTTGTAAGGTACCATACTATATTATGAGGATTATAAACATACATACAGGCAGAGTCTATTTCAAAATTGCATTATATTTATAACTGCTTTTATGATAAGTTAAAATCAATCTCTAATTAATAGCAGGAGTAAGAATTTAGTTTAAAACATCTATCAGTCAAAGCTGATCTTATTTTATTGCCCTTCAAGTTTTTATGAAAGTTGCAGAAAGGTAAAGAGCTTTCATACAGTTTACCAATAATGCTAGATTACAAAGTGGAAAAAATAATGTGGTCTTAATCAAAATATGTAACCTTTAGACAAGCTAAATTTAGCTCAAACAAAATCTGCAATAGGTTGCCTTGGAAAACGTTGCTATAGCTGCAAGGACACATTTCTGGCTATTGGTAGGGGAAAGGTAAGCTTTCAAATTGCAGTATGTATGCAACAAGTTTACGTGGTGCAGATTTATATAGCCTTAACCTAAGAAGAGCAGACTTCAGATACTCATATCTTCGAGATGTAAAAAATACATTATTTGGCCTGATTAATCATTAGGTTAATTTAAAATTATAGCCTATATGCCTAAAGTTTATCGAGTGACAGTTAAATGGTTAAATTACCTCAACGGAAACTTCTGGGGAAAACAGCATTAAGCAGAAAATATGTAATTCTTCCCTTCAGACTGAAACAATTACAAATGAACTTTCAGCAATATTTAAATCATATATTAATCTGGGGCTTTTCATTAATTTCCCTTCACATTACTGAGCAAATTAATATTTTAGTATATTAGAGGTAATTTTAATTACGTGGTTTAGCTCAATGTAACAATTTCTGATCATTTGTCATATAGAAAAGCTCAAATCTTTGTTCCTGTGTTTTACCTATGGAAGTCAGGATTTGTTCTGTGTAATGAAATGGCACTCCTTTTAACCAACATGTGCAACAACATGGTATAATATTCTTTTAAGCTATTATGAAATTTTCTCCACTTTTCACATTTTTTATTGTGTCTTGTCAATACAGAGAATGAAACTAGTTACCTGAAAGTATGTTCTTTTGTGTATGTGCAGCCATCATGATGTTTATCTAGCTCTCATTAGCTAGGATTTTTTCTGTCACCCAACCCTGGCATAACAAACAGCCTTTGAGAGATTCTTTACTCCTTCAGTTGCAGTTTTTACCCGTGGGCACTCAATGAAGTTCAGTACCAGTTCACAATTTTAAAGAGTCTGTTTAAACGAATTTCCTAAGACAGCTATGTTACAAGATGTTTTATTAACAAAGCCTGGAATAGCCTTTTGGAAGTTCTGTAATCCAGTACCACAGCCAGTGTTGTAAACTACATTAATCCTCTTAAGAAATAGTAAGTTTTGATTTAAAAAATTTAGTTTTGTTAAACTTTCAGGAAACACAGAAGTAAATATTATGTAAAGAATCAGTGGTAACATTCAGAAAAATATTTTTGATAATCAGACTAAAACAGATGTCTACTCAAACTTTACAAAACAGCAACAGCTAGATTACCTTTGCAAGAATTGCTTCTTTCGTCAATAAGAATTTCTTCTGGGGCATGAACCATTTCTTCAAAGTCCACCTCTGTGGTTTTCTCTGTCACAGATGGGTAATCAGCTGTCCCAGAGAACAGGGGCTTTTGCTCATCTTCAATGGATGACACAAAAGATGATGACCCACTTTTTTTCTCCTCAAAATGTTTCTTAATAGATTGATAGTATCTGGTGGTGTCCCCTGAGTGTTCAGGATCACTCTGATCATTCTCTTTGAAATAATCTGTTAAACAGAAATAGTTATGTTCAGTAGTATGCAGTTAATGAAATTGTATTCTAGTTTATTCTGGTCTGGGGTTGGAGATGATTATTGTACCAGTTATGAAATTCACCATCTATTAGAATAAATTATTTTAAAGCCTTTTTTGATTCCTGTATCAAAGGAGATTTGTCTTTCTTCTGAAGTCCTACAAGACATTTGCATGTATATCGTAAGGATTCATAGTCCCTAACCCATAACTCATTATGCAAAAAGTCGCTTATATTAAAACAGCAAAGGTTTTATTCCGCACAACCCTCCTGTTTACTCACTGGTTTTTCCAGGTGAAGATGAGATTTGAGAAAGCTTTATATTCCAAATTTTTGAAGAAATAATTTATTATTTCATTCCCTCTTCCAGTTTCTCACATTCTTGGGCATTTCTCACAATCTTGACATGCTAACAGTCATGGATGTCAGACTCAGTATCAGAACTACTCATTTAAGTTATGCCCACATAAAAGCATTTTTGCTGATTATTCTTTTCCCAGAAAAGGCAAATGTATTAATCAGCCACTTAACCTCAAAATGTCTGGGCCCACCTAAACAGAGAGTGTATTTCTCCATGCTCATTACTGTCAAACCGGCATTTAGGATTGATGTGGTAGAAAGAAATCCTATTGGTACAAAAAGAAGGGAGTTTCTTGTCTGTTTTTGTGGGATCATCTCAAAACAACTTTACAAAGTAGGCCAAATTCCTTAGCCTTTAGAATTAATTAAAATTCTTTGAACACCCAACCTTTTGAATAAGTACACATCATGCTGTGATACATATGGAGGCAGAGTACCAATCAAGTTCAGAATTAATCTTTCATTAATCAATCACATTCAAAATCTGTACTGAGAAAGGGCAAATTCAATCCTCTTAAGAAGTGGCAAATAAAATTAAATTTAAAGCAGATGCCTTTAAAAACACATTGTAAAAAATAAATAGGATTTAAAACCAAGAATCATCATTTATGAATATGAAGAACTCCTAATCTCTTTTCAGAATAAACTTGAAGCTAATTTCCAATTCAATATTTGGTTTTACCTATTTTTAACTGAAATGTCAAGATAATTCCAGTTCTTCTATTTATTTAAAACACATTTTAGCAGGATAGTCTCAACAACATATAAATACTGTAACTAGTTTGCATTAACTTCCTGGGGAGACAGCATGATTTCCCATCTGCTTTGTGCTAATTACTAATCCACACAGCTCTAGAATGTCTGTAGTCTTTAAAACCTACAGCAGTGGTTAATGCAACATCTAGTATATTCCCTAGGTTTCTTCTCTGTTTTCTGGTCACTATAGGGAAATGAAACTGTGGCCTCATATAACCCTCTTTATTTGCACATAAAAAGAATGCAGTGTCTGTAAAGAGCACTCTGCAGGAGCCCAGACATCTGTCAACAGTGAGGGCAGGTAATGGTGAACAAAATAAAACCAATACCAAAGCAGACCTCCTGTAACTGTACCATCTCGTCTCTGAGAGCAATTAGCACAGCCCTGGCCTGAAGTGACTTTATTCGGCTTCTGTTAAGCAGGTTAAGTCATACTGGTGATACTCTGACACTGAAGGCATCAACACAGCTCTTGGGGGATGCTCAGACTGGAGAGTCAAGTACCATAGAGTCATAGAATCATACCATGTTCTCTGCAATCCCATCTTCAAAAAAGTGCAAAACCAAAAGAAAGCTTCATAAGAAAATTCTAATGTAGCTGTCTCCCATGCCTTTTCCTTTGGGAATATATGGTGAAATAAATACAGTCATGATACAGTAAATTGTCTTAATTACTTACTGCTTGACCGACTTCAACCTGTGAAAAAGACCTTATAATGAAAGCTTGAAATTGCCATTTTTAGGGTAATTTTTTATATTCATGGTATTTTGTACACTAACAGTAGCTGTAATGAGCACCCTGTGGAATACAAATCAATCAGTGGACTAATTTTAAGAGGAAGTCATTGAGACTCTAATGAAAAAAATTATATAGCAGCTGAAGTATAGCAGACTGCCTTATCTGTTGTAGTCATAGAATACTAAAATATCTAGAAACAAGAAGCCAGATTCTGCTAACAATTAAGCTGCTGTAAAATCAGCGTAATTCAATCGATACCTCTGCATTTAGTCTTCATCTATAACAGAACAATGGAACATATTGTTTTCCAAATGCTGTACAAGTATAATGAACTCACTGGTAACAGAAGGAAAGCAGAGATCTGTTGAATGTAGGGTTTTGCCTATTGAAATCAGGGAAGATTTGTTCATCAGCTGATCGATTTAAAAATATGCATCTTTGGCTTTACTGCTGTTGCTTTATTTGCTAGCCATCTGGCTACATTCAGAGAGTCAAGTTGTTCTCCTTTTAAAAGACTCTTATTTAATGCTAATGATTCTTCTGTCTGGAGAATAATCCTGTGATACTCTGTACCTAGAGTAAGAATTAAAATAGAAACTGCATTTTTTATTTGGCTTTTCAGTACTTGATAATGGTGCAAGGTCTGTACCTCAGCTCAACAGCTTAGCAGTGCCTCTGTAGCTCAGTGGGAATACATTACAAATATCCAAATAGTGCTTAATTCAGAGTGTGAATTTCTCAATTTTCTCCTTTCTCTTATAATGAAATCCAGTCACTGGTTTGGAATGAATTTTCCAGAAGAGAAGTGTTTTCTATCTATGCATGTATGGATAAGTTCACTATCACACAGTCTTCCAGGTTTCAAAATGTTTCTCTTCTCCTTGCTCTTCTGTTTCCAAAATAAATGAAATCCTATTGCTTCCTCCTTCCTTTTCCAGTAATATAAATTTTGGTCTCTCACTCTGATTGATAGAAACTATGTTTTGCTGAAGATTATTATTTTGCAACTTCCTGCTTTACCAAACATGTACAAACATCATTTACATTTTTATATGTGACTTGTTTTAGCTTGATATGTGTTTTGGGTGCCTGCCAAGTTTACAGGCAATGTCCTCTGTCATTTGCTGTCTGGAAATTCCAAAATCCTCCTAGTAATTATCAGAAGGTTTGTGTTCTGCTTTTCACACTTGCACTGGCAAGGGAAGGGAAGAAATAGGGTTGTCATGAAGGCAATGAAATATAGCTATGACATAGACTCACAGAAATACTGGCATAAAATCCAGGTTGGTGGGATGGTTACCAGAGATCAAACAAGTTTCTTTTGTGTGCCATGGTCAGCCTGTAGTATTGAATTATTGTATTATTCAGACAATGGCAGTCTGCACGGTGTATTTTCTTTTAACCTATTAGTCTGCTGCAAACAACATTGGTGAAAGTGTCAGTAATGTATTACATTTGGAGCAACATTGTTTAATGTTACTGTAATATCATTAACCTGACTAGTTATATAGCCTAGTGTTTCAGAAGGTGGCAAATTTTTACTCCCTTTTTCAGACATCCAATAAAAGTCCCATAATATGCCTAGACAAATTCAGTTTTGTGCAGGAAATGAAGTGAATGACTTCCTCATCCTTGCAGAAAAAATTTATATCCTAAACCATGAAACATAGATAATCCTTATCATTAACATGATCTGCATAACTATAAATCTGTTCAGCAGATATGACATCTTCCCTTTCCTTTGAAAAAAGCTACCATATTATCTTACGCTACACCAAGTACATCCTTTGGTAAGAGGAATCCACACTGTGACCTGGAAGTAGGGATGGTTGATTGTTCAAAAGGTCTGCAGATCTCCAGACTCAGATTACCAGCAAGTTTTTTGGTTCAACTGTTCTTAGTTCTCTCTTACGTGATATTCACAAATATTCCTGTGGTGCTCAAGCTGCCTTTCGTACATATGCACAAAATATTTGCTGGTTATCATGACTATTTGTTCTCTGTTCTTTAATTTAAAAACGTCAGTTGCCTTGTCAGATAGCAGGAAAATGTCTTATGCACAACGGGGCAGTAAATATTTGGAATGAAAAGTCAGTAACCAAGCATTTTGGGTAGTATGTTAAATACAATACCACAAACAGGGTTGAAAAAGTGCAAAATCTCAAAGACATCAGAAAATCAAAGGAAGTCGATGCATAATTTGAACACTGATATTCAGACCATGCCTATGTTTTTCATCATTTAGATGGAGAGCAGCATAAAATCAGTCAGGCAAAATGATAATCCTTATTCTTGAAATCACTGCTTTTCACTTAGTGGTGTAAGAACAATATAATTGATACACAGTATTTATGTAATATCAAAAATTACTTGTACTGTGGAGCGGGACCAATATATAATGAGGGGTGATTCCAAAGAAGTCTGCTCAAGTTTTATGCAGGTTCAACTACTCTATAGAACTCCAATCAGGGACTTTAGGATTATTAAACTGCTAATTAAAATGCTCATAATTCTTTTTCCTTGCTGTTTGCTTCGTACTTAGCTGAATATGACTGGTATGGAGTACATCGCTAAACATAACTGAGTGCCTTCTGGTAGACTAGGTAATGGAAGAATATCCAGAAGAAGGAAGCTGACAGCTTGTAAACATGAAAATGAAAAGCAACCCAGTAGCTGACCATTCAATAGATAACTGTTGCTATGGTGAAGATAGATCTTTTTGCCACGTTTTTCAGACATCTATGAATAAAAGAAAAAGGTTAATTTTCATTCCTTTAAGATATATTATAAAAATGAAATGCACAGGCATCACGTCTGACACTTTCGTTCCTGTTGTCATTCTTTCTTTGACTTTGGTCTTTTGGATTGGGTCTCTTAACCCAATCTGCAATTAATATTTTTACTTGAAAATTATGTTCATGAAGGACTTTCCAATGAGAGACTTCAGAATGGATTTTTAATTCATAAGTTCCATTAACTCTTTATTGCTGAATTCTGGTGAATTTAGAATCTTCAGAGAGAAAATTATACTGATTTGCAGTCTTTTGGGAAACAGTATGAAGAACTTCAGTGGGTTTATTTTCCCATGGGAGAAGGACATGAACCACCCAATCTTTAGA